GGTTTGTTCAGTCCCCTCGGGTTTTGCAATTTGGGTGAAAATTGTAAAATAATTAGAGAAATGTAGTTGTGGGATTATTAATGTGAGATTTAAATTATATATGGAATTCATCGGGCGAGTTTTATAAAATATTTTAAAAATTACAATTCGTCGTATGAATTGAAAAGAGTTTTATAGTTTCTATTTTCTATTCAATTGTACTGGATTTCAATTTTATGAGTTTTAAAAAATAATAAAAAGATGTAGTAGTGATTATATTAGGATTATGTTAGAATATTTATCGTAGCTTTGATTTTTTTTTAATTTTAAATACATTCTAAAGTTTAAGATGAATTTAATATCTTGCACCATTTTATAAAGTTAAACCATTTCCTTAATATATATATATATATATATATATATATATATATATATATATATATATGCATAGTCTAAATTACATTTTATTGTCTAATAGTTATATCAAACTATGATCGTACGGTGTCTAACGTTATAAACGTTATTATTTTAAATGTTTATTTTGTCTTTGGTTCAGTCCTAGAAAGAATCACATCGCTTTGAGGAGCTAAAAAAGCCACCAATAGAGTTTTTTTTACTTAAATATAAAACAAGTGACCCAATTATATTATTTTTCACGAATAATTGCTTAAAGTATTTTTTGACTCATCTTAGTACCTAACATTATAAACCTCATTATTTTAGGTGCATAGGCTGTCAGCGATGTTAATATCTTCCGTTAAGTGACACATGTCATAATCTGGTGATTTTGAATTTTTTTTAAAATATTATATTTATAAAAAAGTAATTTATCTTAAATTATAAAAAATATCCCTTTAATCCCCAAATCATAACCTTAACCCACCACTGTCACCCTTTTCGGCCACGATCACTGCCACCGGCGTAGTCTCTGCCATCATCCTAATCATATGTCATTGTAGTTGTCGTCGATTGACCATCGGAATCGTGTGAGATCGTAATTTTCATCCTAGGTTTCGCGGGGTATAAAACATTTATTCCTCGATCACGATTTTATAGGGGTTTTGGATGCCAGGGGAGGTGAGGTCGGGTGAAGCTTCGCCGACGACATAGGGAGACGGTCGATGTAGGTTTAGGGGTTGAAATTAAGGTTTTAAAAGTTTTGAGGTTATTTCAAAATTTGTACATTTTTTAAAAATATATAATTTGAATTTTTAATTTTTAAATAAAAATTTTAAAATTATCAAACCGTGACACGTGCCATTTAACAGGGAAAATTAACTTCGTTGACGACCCGTGCACAATGTTTGTAACTTTAAGCACCGGGATGAATAGAAAAATACTTTAGGCACATATTCATAAAAAAACACTATAGTTTAGGCACTTATTTTATATTTAAGTCATTTTTAGCAGTTTAGGCACTTATTTTATATTTAAGCTATTTTTAAGCATTCTAAAGTCATTATTATTGTAAAATAATGACTTAATACAAAAATAATTGTTTAAATTATATTTTAAATTAATTTTTGGTGTTGAAGAATTTTTTTGTTAAAAATAGGGGTCTAATATTTTATCTGTTACATTTTTAGGATTAAAAAACCGTTAATTGACACATGTCACGTTTATATTTTTTAATTTTTTAAAAATAAAATATTATTTAAAAATATTTATAAAAAAATCTAAACGTGACACGTGTCACTTAACGGCATACAACTAAAAGTATTACAGAGAAAACATTAGGCACCTAATTTTTAACGAAAAATTCTATAGGTACTAAAAGTTAATTTGATGTATAGTTTAGACACTTAAAAATACACTAAACCTAAAATAATACGTGTTCATAATTTTTTAATATTTGACAATGTATACACTCTTAAAATTATTATTTTTAATAAAAAGTAGTAATATTTCATTTGAAAACTTACGTTAGATTCTCGTTTATTTGTTTTAATTAACAATATCGATTAAAAGGAAAAAACAAAATTCAGTAATCAGTGTTAAACCTTATTTATCTAATAATATAGCATTTACAGAGACACACAAGCCAATACGAAATATTATTAGTACACTAACAACAATAACAAAAACGCATAGCCAACACGAAAAACTGACAAACCGACGATGAGGAAAACACACCAACAACACAAACCGATACCAAAATTTTGCACAACAAGAGCTCCCACAATCAATACATTGCCAGAAACCATCTCGTGGCCTCAGCAATGGCGATGGCGATGGCGATGTTTTGGCCTTTCAGGAAATCTCTCCTATTGTTGTCGTCAACTTTCTTGGTACTATTGCCATGGGCATTTTCTGCATCGGATTCCGAGGCCTTGTTGAAGCTAAAGAAATCTCTAACCAATGCCGGAGCTCTTGACTCTTGGGTGCCGGGATCACCCCCTTGCAGCGGTCCTCGAGGACCGTGGAGAGGACTGCTTTGTGAGGGCGGCGTTGTCAAGGGTTTGCGTCTCGAAGGAATGGGTTTATCGGGAACTATTGATGTCGATGCCTTGGTGGAGATGAAGGCTTTGGGTTCTTTCAGTGTCGAAAACAACTCTTTCACGGACACCATTCCCCAACTCAATCGTTTGGGTGCGTTGAAGGCTTTATCGTTGTCGAGGAATAAGTTTTCGGGCGAGATTCCGTCCCAGTATTTTGTGAAAATGAGATCTCTCAGGAGAGTTCGGTTATCGCACAACAAATTCACTGGGGAAATCCCAGTTTCATTAGCTCGTTTACCTAATCTCGTTGGCTTACATCTCCAGTTCAATCAGTTTAGAGGACGTATTCCGTCTTTTTATAGCCAGGTTTTGAAATCTTTCAATGTATCAAACAATATACTCGAAGGCGAGATTCCTTCTAGTTTGTCGAGATTCAGTGCAAGTTCATTCGCGGCAAATCCATTTCTATGCGGGGAACAGATTGACGTCGAGTGTCCCTCAACTCCAAACAATACTTACAAAAAGACTAAAGCTGCATTAATGGTTGCGTTAGGAGCCATGCTATTGTTGGTGATTATATTCTTTGCAATTCGATTGAGGAACAAGAATCAAAAGGTTTCATACGTGCTACGAAGATCAGGAAGCTCTAACGCAGCCACCGAGTTGCCGGTTTCAGTGCTACCTAAAACAGAAGACACCGTAAAGAGTGCATGCTCGGACCTTACGGTTTCTAATCACAGAAAACCGAGTGTTGCAGAACTAGTGATGGTGAACGATGAAATGGGTGTTTTCGGGTTGACCGATTTGATGAAAGCATCCGCAGAAGTGCTCGGAAACGGACCATTGGGGTCTTCTTATAAGGTAAGGATGGCTAATGGAGTGGAGGTGGCGGTGAAAAGGATGCGCCAAATGAATGCATTAGGGAGCGATGCATTGATGCTGAGGTTAAAAAGCTCGGAAAGCTGAGTCACCCCAATGTTTTGCCACCTTTAGCTTACCATTACCGTAAAGAAGAGAAGCTCGTCGTCTACGAATACCTTCGTAACGGCAGTTTGCTTTACCATTGGCATGGTACCAAATTCTAACCTTTTCCTTTGTTTCTTAACCACAATAACATCCATAGATTCTAACAAAATCATGAAATCCTCCAGGCGATGCCGAATCCTGCAGACTTGATTGGCCGACCCGAGTGAAGATTGTGCGAGGAATAGCGAAAGGACTCGAGTATCTTCACAATGAATTTGCTTCACGGGACGTGCCTCACGGCAATCTCAAATCGAGCAATGTTCTACTCGGCCCTGATTATAATCCACTTCTCTCGGACTATGGATTTCACCCATTACTAAACGTTGAAGGTTTAGAAGGCTTGTTTGCTTACAAAACCCCGGAAGCCATGCAAAAGCAAACCGTGTCTCCTAAAAGTGATGTATATTGCCTGGGAATCATCATTATTGAGATGCTTACAGGGGAACGCCCTTCACAATCTGTTCACGATGGAAATGGATTGACTGATATCGTCCAATGGGTTGAGTCGGCGTTTACAGAAGGGAGACAGGCTGAATTGCTTGATACAAAGATCCAGGGATTCCGGAATTCAATCGGTAGCATGGAGAAACTCCTTCGTATAGGCGCACTTTGCACTAAAACTAGTCCCGAGGAGCGATTAAGCATTAAAGAAGCCGTTGGAATGATAGAGGAGATACATGAGTTTCGGGTTTTGTGATTTGCAAACTTGCTTTTTTTTCTTCCTGAATATAACTCTGAATGGAGATTGAGTTGCATTGGCTTCGACAATGGTATGAGAACTGTTACTGTAGAAATTTGAGGTCGCTGTAAAAAGACAGAAGAAAAGAGAACGGAGATCTCTGTATATCATTCCTGGTCGACAATTCTTATATCTACAAAAATATTTAAAATGTTGGAAAATATTAAGTTCCACAAAAATAATATTTCGACAAACAAAACACTATAGAACTCCTTGCAGTATAGTCTTTCATCTTTGATGTGTGGCCCTCTGATTATGGTCCTGATGGATCATGGAATTTTGCCATGCAACTGTCAAAACATAACTAGACATTTGCCATACGGATGAAAACTTAGAAAAACATGCTAAAATTGACAAGCTCATTTCTTACGGAGAAACTACTTTGACTTAACAGTAAGACTAGAAAATACAATAAAAGGAAAAACTAAGAAGAATAAAAAAGATCAACGGTTGGCCAGAGACCAACGCCGCCACCACTAGTGTCGAGAATAGTTTTCTTCAATTTCAAAGAGTTTTACAAAACAGTCTTTTCCCCCACATCCCTTCCTTGTTTTTCTTCTTATGAGGCCAATACTTTGGCAGCCGATATTAAAGAACTACCCATTTTTGAACTTCCATGTTGATGGTTAAAAAAGAAATTACAATAACAAGTTAACGGCCACCACTGGAGCAAGTAGTAGTAGTAGTTTCTTGATTTACTTAACAGGATGATCATCTCATTAAAAACTTCTGAATATTCTCTCTTTTCTTTTAATTAAATATTTATTCAAAATTTCAGTCGACACAAAATAACCTGGGAGACTTCCCATAAGTGAAAGTATCCAACTAGTGTTCAAAACTAAATCTAAGGCACCAGCAAATCGAGGCTAAGCCTAGTCAGAAGCATTGTTCACAAATGTTACAATAACTGGATGCTGAGAGGGAGATGGAGGATCTTCTAGCCTACATAACACATCTACTACACCAAACACTGCCAATACTTGTGAATTGCTAAAACAGGATGCAGGGAACATGCGTTAGTCCAAATCAAGAAACTCCATTCTTTTCCTCATTGTACCTTTGAGATCCGTTGCCTCCCTTTCTGCTTTCTGTGCCTGCATATGTATCAATGCTTTTTATTCATGACACTCAGAATCCAACCATAAATACTTCACAACATATATTTATATAAGAAAAAACTAGATTTTTGCCAAAATCAGAGTTTCCATCTGTAAAGAACAACTATCTGGGAGAAAATATAGACCAATAAGATATTTTAAATAATTGTGTTTGAAGATTTAGTTCAAAAATACACTAGAAATCTGTGTATATACAATAAAATCATATCTGAAGCATTATGAAAATGAAGCTGTTGATAAATAACTCCAACAGTAGGAACCATGCCAGTCCCAACCCAAGCATTATGAAAATACAACCAATTTCTTATGAACTTCAATTCTTCTAATGGTCAACTAATCAACAACAAAATTAACCACAACATTGACAAACATAACATCAAAAGAACCAACAGACAATCACAAACATCTTACTTCTATTATCTGTGAAGACTACTCAAACAAAAGTTTTTCCATGAATGATAGATGGTTAGAATTGTCGTAATCTGGTCTTCCTTATTAGAAACATCAGAATTTATGGACAGCAACATAGGAAATACCTGATTAAGCTCCCATTTGACCAATATCAGTAAACAACAAAATTATTCACAGCATGACCATCATCTGCCACCATCATCAAGTTGAAGATCGATGTGAATGCTTAAAAGTTAAATGTATCTAAGAAACTGAATGCCTTGATCTCAAAGGTTATCAATGTTACTCTCTAGTTTTTCTACATGGCAACACTTGTCCCAATATAAGTTTAAGAAGCTTGGGGGGGGGGGCAAAAGAAGATTAAGCCTAACTTATGGGGTATTCAGTGAACAAAAAATTTCTCAGGGAAACTGTTATATTGTCGCTAATGAACACACATAATTCATAGAAATAAATCAAAGAATGACTCTCACCCTTCTTATTTCTGCAACAGAAACACGAGTCATATGCGGAGGAAGATCCTCTCTCTCCAAATCCTAACAAATAATATGCAAATTATAGATACCAACATGGGATTACAAATTAAAAAGGCTAATGAGAATCAATGAAACTAGATAACTCAAATAAATCATACCAGTTCACCAATCAAGACAACATTCTCCCCACGGATTACATATAGACCTAAAGGGATGTCACAGTAAAGATTTCCAACTATAACTCTTTCACAAGCACCCTCAAGAACAGCATTGGCTGAAACATATTTAAAATTGTCAGGAACAGATAAAACTGGTAGGCATGTCAGGTCCAGAAGGTTAGGTGACAAGAAAAATTACCAAATTGGTCAAATGAACGTAATGTTCCCATAAGCTTCCGACCATCTCGCAGCAGCACTAAAAGTGTTCCTGCATCATATATGGAAGAGTAAGATATCAGCAACTGGAAACACAAAATAGTCTCAAAACATATGTTTGAACTTTGACTCAAATACCACATCTAAATGTTCTAACAGAGTTCTACTTCTATTCTTGGCAGCAATGGCAAGTAAAATAAAAGGAAGTCACGAAAACTTATAAACCCTGAGACAATATTTGGAAGCTCCACAACAATGACTATCAATCAATAAAAATAGTCATGCAACTGGCCAATTCCTTGAAACTTGAAAATGTTTCAGTTTTCTTCCACAACAAATCCCAAAGACTAATCCACGTCCTACTTAACTCTAATAGAATTAAATCAAACTTTTAACAAATGGCTTCTACTAATTATTATTGACTATTAACTAATATCTGCAATGGATTGCAGAATCATAAACAATTAAATGAAGAAGCCTGCATAAGAATAAGCATACAACTAGTTATTCAATGACCCATCAGCATATAAACATAAGACAGAACAACTACACCTACTAGAACAACTCAAAGCCAATGCCAAAAGAAAAAATATATTTGCAGCAAAGAATAAATCTCGGGACACAATAAATTTAACAGAAAAAACAAAAGAGATAAAGAGCATACTGTCAAGATAACTGGCAAGAGAAGTAGAAAGGTAGATATCTTCAGGGCCTGCCCACGACATTGATCACCTTTTTTTTTTCGGTCTCTCCAAAAAAAACCTAAGCAGAAAATAGACCTTTCAAATACCAACTATCCAAATATGAAATATGGCATTGGCTATTGAGAATTCCCCTTTTATAATCTACCCCGAACTCCAAAAAGTTAACAATATAAAACCCCTCCAGAAAAACAAAAGCAACCCAAAGACGTAAATATCACGAATTACTCAAAATCAAAGATTCTTATAATCCTAGATTCAAGAAGAAGAAGAAGAAGAAACCCTAAGTGGAAAACCCTCGCAAGTTAAGAAATTGGGGTTTGTTTTTCTCTTCCGTTTTGAAGGGACTAAGTGGTGTTGGAGTAAAAAAATATATATCAGAGCACTCAGATCCAATCTCGCCAGAAGAGAGAGAAAATTGAGAGAAAGCCCGAGAAAATGCGGGAAAATTAGAGACGGATGGGAAAATGGATTGGGGATTATGTCGTGGAGTTTAACATGGCGGAATTTGGTTTCATTTTAGGAATATTTTGCTGCTAAAAGCTTTCAGTTTCCCTTTTTCCTTTTTAATTTTATTTTGACATAAAATTCATCCAAATGCCTAAATCAATTATAACTCACAACGTCTACGGTATCAATAAGTATCAAAATCAGTTTTATTAAAGTGAACTAATTAGTATAATATGTTTTTTAAAAGTTGAGTTGAACCTTTTGTGTTGTCCATTCAATGATTCGATTACAAAATATATATAAACTTTTGAACCAGTAGTAATCACATGTATAACTGAGCTATTTTACATGTAAAAATTATTAGAAAATAGGATAAATTTGTTGATCATTGCATGTTCTATCACAATCTTAAATAATAATTCATATGATTTTTATTCAATTGATGTTTCTAAATTATATTTAATCATCCTTGTATTGAATTTAAATTATTATTTTTTATGATTAAATTAAACATGAAATAAGATTCGATAACACGTGACTGAAAAACGTGGTTTGTGCATTTTTTGGCTAATGATTAAATCTACCATGAAAACCCAAGCAGAACTTACACTCGGAATCTGTCTTCACCCATTTATATTCAGCTTCACTCTCTCTCAAGGGTTTCATCTTCATTATTTGGCCCTCTGGGTGATTCTTTGTCTTCTAAATATTTCTTCATGGATGATGCTCGAGAAGGGTTTTGATTGCAAATCTTTTTGTGAAGCATTAACCTCAAAAGCTGTTGAATGGTAAAAAAAAATCTGACAGTTTCGCAGTTACTTATAATGTTTATAATATAAAAAATACGTCTCTGCTTAATTTACCTTCTCCATTTTTTATTCCTGCAGTGTATCACTCAAACTCGGTGCAGGTGAAAACCCACCGCTGCAAACAAACATCTTCTTCAAGAGGGACGAAATGGATTTCATCCCGATGAATTTCTTCTTATTTTGGGCACAAATGTCTTTGCATCTGCCGAGGATAACACTGACGGTTCGATCAATGTCTTGTTGGTCCAATTTATCCACCCAATCACTGCAAATTGCATTGCTAATCCTCCTATCAACTTCTAAGCTCGATTGACAATTGAGAAACATACCCAATGGTAGTTTTGTCAGTTCCTTTTATCACCGGAAGCGGGTTTTCGGGACAAGAGTTTGGTTAATTCCTTTTCTATTTTCCCGATTTCTTCGGGGGTAAATTCCTGTAAATACTCGGACGAAGACGGCTCTTGTTCCTCTTGAATGTCGAAGGGATTTTGTCGGTTGACGCTCGGGATGGAGGATTTCGGGAATGTCATTATTGTTACCAGATGTTCCTGTTGCCAACAATCCATGAGGCCAATCGCTGAACTCTTGCCGAGACTCTTGTTTCGTGTGTTCTATCAGAGAAAACAACAAGAAACGACATGTCAAACACTAAGTTGAAGATATCATGTGCGACATGCCCTACTTGTCCCATGGCATTATCAGGGTTATGCTTTGTAGATTTTAACGACAAAGACCATGGATGTATCAAAAGACTTAGATCCCTTGTCTCTTATTTTGGTTTTAAAATACAAGTTTGAAGAATATTATTGGGAGAAGTTGAAGTGAGAATGGGCCCCTGTTAAACAAGCATAAGGGACAACTTACAAATCAGTGTTTTCAACAATATTTCACGTTCATTCCTATTGACTATAACTGAAAAAATATGTGATTCACATAAGAAACGAATTCAATTGATTTATATAATAATTTTTTAATGATCTTAACGTGATTAGTATAGTGTAGTATATATGTTATGAATCTTTCTTAATTATTGACAACGCACACATATCTTCAGACACAGTTGTCTGATCCTAAGATCTCTAGGATCTTTCTTAATTATAGTGTAGGATATATAATATTGGAACCAACCTAAAAGATTAAAATATCCGAGTTAATGCAAAAGAAACCTAAAAGTTAATGAATTTTGTTGTGTTTTAAACATTAAAATTATGGGTTTAAGGTTTTTTGTTTTATTGGACAATTTTTTTAACTTAATTTTGTAAACATAAGAAGAAGAAAGAAGAAGGAAAATTGTCAAACATGTTGAGTTAGCTAGTTTAATGCGTCACATTATCTTTTATAAATTAAAAAATATAAAATACATTTGTTAATCACCTAATGTAAAAAATGTATCCGAAACGTCATGGAAATAATACACCAAATACGTGCATTATGAAATCCAAATTAAAGGGGAACCTAAAAATGAAAGTGTAAGTTCTTATTGTAATTATATTTACATTATTTTTAACGATTACTAATTTATATATTATTGAGAATAAAAAATTATAAACAAATAATTATCTTAAATATGTAGTGAAATCTCATCTCATCATCTGTTTTCGGTCCAACACGTGTACCAAAGGGGTCGGGTTGAATAATGGCAACTACCCGCTCGTTTCCCTAACCCAGGCCCGCCGTTTGAATAATATAAAAAATCCGTTTTGATGATATATTTTTTAGAAAATAATCTCAGTGACAAAAAATCCCATATAATATACGATTTTAACAAACTCTTTCCATATTTGCCAAAATGACCAACAAAATCGCAATATGATCGCTAATTCGCAACGCGATCTCCATTATCGCAAATCAGTTTCCAGATTCGCAACGCGATTATGACTATCGCAATGCGATTTTCCAATTTCGCGTTGCGATTTTCACAATTCGCAATGCGAATAAGTAAATCGCAATGCGAATTTGGAAAATCGCAATGCGATACTGACTTTCGCAACGCGATTCTGACTATCGCAACGAGATAATACAGAATTGCAATGCGATTTTCAAAGTTCTTAACAGGTTTTAGTTTCGCAACACAAATATTTTGGATATATATCTACGTAACAACAACAACTCATAACCTAAATCCCTAAATCGCAACTCATTCCATCTCCATCTATCACTCTCTCCGGCGACATCCGTTCCTATATCCGTTCCTACATCCTTCCCCATCCGGCAACATGTTTTAGTTTCGCAGCTCGTTTGTTTAGTAAATTAATTTACAACCATGAAAATCATCTAATGTTGATCATGTTTGGATAGATTTGTATTTTGGAGGGTCATGGGAGAATGCTCATGGTGTTTTACAATATATGCCTTTACCCATGAATCTTCAACTAAAACTGTCATTAAAAAAGTTAACTTATGAAACTCTAATGTTACGTGTTTCAAAGAAATTGAATTTAGAGCCCCTAAGTGGATTTAGGCTATCTTATCAGAGAAATAGTAAAGTTTATTTGTTAACCGACAATGAAGATGTTGAACGATTCATTGCTTACATTAGTGTTTCAAGTGATGATGTTACATTGTATGTTGTTGAACCTAGAAGTAGTATTGTTGGGTCAGTAGCGGGTAATAATCAACTAAGTTTTTCTCAAAACCCACAACCTTTCTCTAATCCAAATCCCAATCAACTTTCAGCACCAAATTCCGGTTTTCGTATTGACCAGTTAGACGATGATGAGCCAACAAAAAAAAATTGTGAGTACTAGTCAGTATTCGAAATTTGATCTTAGTCAATACCCGGACTTTGATTTTGGTCAATACTCAGATTTTGATGATGTTTCAGAAGAAGAAACAGACCCTGCGTGTAATGATTTTGATATTGGTCAATACCCGAATTTTGATGATAAAATAAACGTTGCCGAGGAAGATGTTGTTGATGATAATGAGGAGGAAATTACGACTGTGAATGAACATGTTGAACATCCATTCTGTAATTCATATAATCCTGAAGAAGAAAAAGAAGAAGAAAAAGTCCCCGAAGAAAAGAAAAAGAAGAAAATGCCACGGGAGTATAACTGGAATATGTCAGAATTACTTCAGATACTGGAAGAAGAGTTGGTAAAGAAAGCAGTTGATTGTTACACAAAAGTTATTCGTATCAAGAAAGATGTTTGTTTTGATACAAAGGAAGACTTGAAGATAGCTTTGTATACGAAATGTATGGAAGATGGCTATCAACTAAAAGTTAACAAATCAAGCAAAGATCGTTTCGAAACAAGGTGTATGATTGACAAAAATTGTACGTGGCGTATGATTGCAAAGAGGATAAAAGATGGCGAAATGTTTCAAGTTAGGACTTTTATTGATAAACATACATGTTCAAGAACCTAAGTTTTTCCTCACCATAGACAGGCAAACAAAAAGGTGTTGGGCGGTTTTCTGGCTGAGTTAATGTTTTTGAATGGCAGAGTATATCGGGGACATGAAATTATGACTGACATGAATGCTCGGTTCAAGATTAGTATATCATATTCTCAAGTTTGGAGAGCCAAATGTTATGCCTTGGAATTGTTGAGGGGGTCGCCAGAAGCATCGTTTGCCCAACTGCCGGCTTATTGTCACAATTTAAAGCTGAAAAATCCTGGGTCGGTAACTCATATCAAAACAGATAGAGATGGACGCTTTGAGTTGCTGTTTATCTCCATTGGTGCTGCGGTTAGTAAATCAATATAATTTTGTTGACTGATTTTTGTTAGTTACATGCATTTCACATTGTGTATATTATTTTGTAGATTCGTTCGTTTATTACTTGCATGCGCCCAGTTATTATAGTTGACGGAGCACATTTGAAAGGTCGATACCTTGGAGTAAACTTATTAGCAGTAGTCATGGATGCTAACAATGGGATATTGCCAATAGCGTACGGGGTTGGCAAATCTGAAACCTCTGATTCATGTACATGGTTTATGGGGTATCTTAGGGATTGCATAGGTCCTATTAGCAATCTGAAAATCATATCTGATAGGGCAAACTCAATTGACAACGCTGTTAGAAGGTGTTTCCCAGATGCTTTTCATGGACTTTGTGGTGTTCATTTGTATAGAAATCTAAAATCAAGGTCTGCTGGTATAAAAAAGCACAAATGGACATACTGGAAGACTGTAAAAGCTTATCGGGAAATGGATTTCAATAAGCATATAAACTGTTTAAGACGTGTTTTGCCTCAGTGTGCTCAAACACTAGAAGATGTTGGGTTTGAAAGATGGTCAATAGTACATCAACTTGGAGCAAGATATGGTCTCATGACATCTAATAGTGCAGAATCAATCAACGCTCTAAGTC